TTCAGATGATTATATGACTGGCTCATAGCTGACAAAGTTAGCAATATTTGGACATGGACTGGTTTAAAGAAGACTCCAGGTGTCACTATTGTTTGATACATTGTTTCTCCTTTCACTTTGGGCTTTTGGAGCTCCTCTCTCAGATTACAGGTGATGCAGCAGGAAAAAGAGCTCTCTAGGAATGAAAATAGAACCAATCACCCTGCACACAGCGTATCTATGACATCACTTGCCACACCCCATTGACATCACAGCCAGAATGCTCAACAGGTATCCTATGGCCCTGAATTCCACTTGCTTACACGTTGGCACTAAGTGACTCAGTTCCTAGAGGTTATTCTAGAGCAACTGTGTTAGCTGTCTTACTTCTCAGCATTCTTTCCTTGATAAACTAGTCTGTGTTACACCTTCTTCTCAGTCTAGATGGAGGTTTTTGTCTTTCTCATGTCTCTTCTATCCCGGACTGGTCTGCAATACAAGGAAATAAGAGGGAGGAGGCCAACAAACAGGAACTATCTTCTTGCACCCCAGGAGAAGTAAAAGCCAGGGCTTTCTTGGGATCATTCTTCCTCCTTCTAAGGTAGATCGTTCCTGTGACAGTTTCCAGAACAAGGCCTGTTACCTCTGCCCCATGGCTCTTCTCTGCTGCAGTCTCAGCAGCTGTTTGTGGCTGTGCAAGGACACCACAAGGACCACAATGCATCCTGAGCCTTGCTTAAGCAATTTATGAGCAGCGTGAAGACAAAGGAGAAACACTTTGCCAATGTGTGCAAAGACTAAGTGTATGTGTGTGAGCTATGCGTTTGTGAAGACATAGGAAGAGTGCGTACATGTTCAGAGAACTATTAGCATTGGGGGAATTTTGACTTTTCTCCAACACTTCCTGGATGAAATCTGTAGGATGATTTTGATAAGACTGTATTCAGAACTGTGTGTAGGAGGAACACACACACACTGTTGCACTTAGCAGTATTCATTCATCACTCCCACACTGTACTCCAAACTTCTCTCCAAGACAGCAGCAATTGTCAGACACTTAAAATACCTTCATTTTATACTATGCTTACTACAACCGGCTAAACTTATGATAGACTATCAGCACATAGTGTGTGTGTGTGTGTGTGTGTGTGTGTGTGTGTGTGTATGTATGTGTGTGTGTGTGCATGTGTGTGTTCCTACACAGCTATAAAGTACATATATGTGTACACACTTTGCATATGATATATACTATATATTTACATATAGTGTACATATGATCTATATACATATAATGGTTAAAAACCATCACTGAAAGTCCATAATGAACAGTCCCAATGAAGAAACTGAAAAGTCATGCTTTCATTGATAGTACCACATGCCAGATTCTTCTATGCTTGACTCTAATTTCAACTCCATAGCATGAGAAGTCATCTTTGCACATTTCTTGGACATACTATAATGCATTGGTTTGCCATCATCTGTATCCCAGTCTCAAGACAAATGTATTACAAAGTCATTTTTTGACACCAGGACTCACTATGAGAGTCTGTAAGTGGCCTGGAATTCGAGATGTAGATCAGGCTAACCTTAGATTCACAGATATTCACCTGTCTCTGCCTTTGGGGTATGGAGATTAAAGGTGTGTGCCACCACACCTGACTACACAGTCATTTTGATGTTTAAGAAGCCAAAGTTTCTTGGATGCTATAAGAAATGCTACCTCATCTTCCAGTTTGTAGCAGAACAATGGCATAGAGGGAACAAGAATAAAAACTCAAACCTTACTGGCATAGGAGGCATCCCAATGCCCTACCCCCATCCCCCAAAATGGAGTAGTTTTCAAACCTCTCCAAGTACTTCTGTGCCTCTTTCAACAAGATGCTAACAAACATGACACGTCTCTTTCTTGATGGCATTCAAAAAAATAAAACAGATCTGGAATTAGGAAGAGATTTCAACAACTAGTTGAAAATACCCAGGTGAATGATTTTAGTCAGTCCATTGCACCTCCTTGATCTTGGTTTGGTTTGCTTTGGTTTTCTGAGACAGGCTCTCCTGCTATCCTGGAGTTAACCAAGCTATCCTAGAACTCCAGAGATTCTCCTGCCTCCACCTGAAATCCAAGGCTTATGCCTAGCAGATTTTGCTGCCTTTCAAGAGAGGTCACCACATTCCACAAGGCTGTTTTACAAATAAGGATATAGAGAACCCATAAAGCACCCAGCACTGTACCCTCACTTCTTCACAGTGTTCCTTGAGACAGATGTTCCTTCCTGCCCTGTTAGGACACTATCTGAACAGCCAAGTTGATGCTGTCTGCCCAAGCTGCAGTATCTCTCTGTGACTGTTCTCCAGAGTTGGCCTTTGGTCTCCAGAAAGAATAAATACAAGACCGTGTTAGGCTTGAGGCCTTGTATTATTTCCTTTAAAAAAAAAGTCACTATATTTGCTACAAATATGTTTTCTATTACTGTGACAAACAGCATGACCAAAAGCAACTTGGGGAAAAAAAGGTTTATTTTATCTTACAGTTTACAGTCCATCATTGAGGGAATCCAAGTCTCAGGAAAGGAAGCTGGAGGTAGGAACTGAAGCACAAACTCTGAAGAAATGCTGCTTACTGGTTTTCTTGCTCTCCATGTTTTGCTCAGCCTGCGTTTTATACCACCCTGAACCACCTGCTCCGAGGTAGCACCATCCTAGTACACAAAGCCTTCCCACATCAGTTATTAATGAAGAAAATGTCCCAAAAGAACAATCCGAGGGAGGTGTTTGTCAATTAAGATTCTTTATTCCCAAATGACTTTAGTTTGTGTCAAGTTGACAAAAATAAATCAGTACAATTGATCCCTTGTCAACTTGATACAAATACTCATCACTGTTAATCTAAGACCTTTTCCTTTCTTGTTTCTCTCTAAGAGCTCATCTTAGTATCACGGTACAAACAGAGTATAACTTTATCAGTCCCACTTTAAAATTTCAGTCTCTCAACATACCTATCTCTTTAACACTCCAAAGTGTCTCAGTTATGGGAAACTGTAAACTAAAAAAATCACTTACACACTTGCTTCCAAAAGAAAAATACCAGAGCACAGTAACAATCAGATCAAAGCAAAACCAAACACAAATAGTGTACCCCAGTGTCCAAGATCGTGAACTCACTCAGTATCTTCTGAGCTCCAAAGAGCCCTACTCTGGCTCTGTACCCACAGCACACGCAAGAGGCAGGCTCCACTTCATACCTGCCATTATCCTTGCTGGTCATCTCACAGTACTGCCATTTTAAATATGCAGGAGTATTAACTACAACTGAGGTGGTGCCCTTATCTAGTCAGCTGCACCTGAAGAATCAGTTGTAACTGACAAGAGACCAGAATCATTAAAGTAAAACCTTTGCAAGAGCAATGGAAGCTGGTCTGCTGGGGCTGAAGAATCCACTGTGATTATGAAGAGACCAGTATCTTTGAAGTGTAGTCTTTTGGGAAATGTTTCTTCATAGAAGCTGTGTTCTAGAGGCAGCCAAGGCTATAGCTCATGCTGAATAACTTGCTATTCTAAGAGTCACTCAGGTGTACTGGCTTTTAAGGCATAAAGCAATCATGGAAAGATGATGTGACATGTCACTCTGTGACAGGACTGGAATCCCTAAAGTGAGTCTGGGAGAGGCTATTGGTGAAAAGTGCAGCCCAGTTGCAGCAGGAGACCCCAGAATACTGGAGACACCAATACCATGGAGGAACATCCAAGAACAACAGCCGCCATGGAACGGAGCTGGCCTAAGCCAACTAGACAAGCTATATATGCTGTGGCAATCCCTTTGAAGGAACCCAGAAAACAGAATCCTAGAAGTTTGACACTGAGATTTATACTGTTGGATTTTTGTTTTGCTTTGTTCAGATTGTGACTGTGCCCTGGCTCTATTCTCTTGGGGTAATAAAATATTTATTATTGCTTTTACAAAATGCCATCGTTGAAAGTCTTGGAACTACTAAAAAGATTTTGGAGATTTAGAAACTGGATTTTAGAGAGACTTTGCCTTTTAAAAGAGACTGGATATCTTAAAGATATTGAATTTTTAAAGTGTTTGAATTTATAAATACTGTAGGGCTTTTAAGTTTGTAATGTTTTATACTGTGATATTTATCAATATGAGATCTTAGGAATAAACTAAAAGTGAAAGGTTATAGTTGAATAGTGCATGTCAAGTTGACAAGAGACCAATTGTGCTCACTGATTTAATGCTGGCTTAACACAAGTACTGTCATCTAAAAGGAGAAAACTATAATAAAAAAATAACTTTATAAGATCAGGCTGTAGACAAGGCATTTTCTAAATTAGTGATTGATGGGGGAGGGCATCAGCCCATTGTGGGTGGAGCCACTACTCAGCAGGCCCTGAGTTAGCTGAGAAAGCCATGGACAATAAGCCAGTTAGCAGCACTCTTCCATGGCCTCTGCATCAGCTCCTGCCTTCAGGTTTCTGCCCTACTTGAGTTCTTGGCCTGACTGCCTCCTATAATGAACTGTGCTGTAAAACATTTCCTCCCCAACCTGCTTTTAGTCATGGTATTTCATCACACCAATAATAACCCTAACTAAGAGTTTTGATTTTGTTCTTTGTGGCTTTGGTTCTTGTTTGTTCTACCACTGGGCTATAGCTCTTGGCCTGTTTGACTCTTAATTTTTAGACAATAAAGCCATAATTGGGTCACTGAGCTTAAGTGATAAGTATAATTCAACTAACTGCAATTCTTTCCTTATGACAGTACTTTGGATCATGAAAAATCAATCTTCATAACCACATAGTTCAGATTAAAATGCTTTGTTTCTGGATAATGCTAAAAATCAAATGACTTTACTCACCTGTCTGTTGTGTCAGTTATAACATTAAGCAGATGTGATTTTTTTAAATCTTAAAATGAGCATAATGTACAGCAACTAAACCATATCCACTGAAGGTAAGTACGTTTGGTTGCACACAGTTAATAAGCAAACCTGCTTGCATCGCCTTTGGCTCCGTACCTGTCCTGTGTATGCGAACTCCAGAGCCTGCTTTAAGCCCAGGCTGGTCACACCACGTAAATTTACTTCATCGGCTCCACTTTCCACCATACAAAGACTGAACATTGCCTGAAATGACAAAGTAAAAAAGAAAAGACTGAATTATGGTATCTAAAAAGCAAGAGAGAAAGACAAGGTCCTAGAGAAAGTAGGAAAAAAAATAGAGCTTTCCAGTTGAAAGGAAATTTTGGTTTTTGAAACACTTCCACAAAGCTTCATTTGCACAAGCCTCTGCACTCATCTGATAGCTAAACAGTTATAGCAGACACACACACTCATAAACACACATACATACATAAGCATACACACACACATACACACACCATGTATTTCTCAGCACACTCATCCAGCCAACAGTGTTCAGGTTCACCGAACTCATTCCTCTATCTGGGATGAAAATATCACATGAGGTGGACCATACTGAATATTCTACTCAATGAATGTGAAGAGTCAAGTCTCTTCTGATGTCTTTGTCTTTATAATCTTGTTTCTCTTCTCACATTGAATAATCCTTGCCTTGTTCTGTTTCAGTTGCCACCAACCAAGCACTGTTTGACAATTTAAATGCAAAATAGCAAAAATGAAGCACACATCATGCATGATAGTGTAATCACACCTTCAGTGTCCATCCTTTCTCCACTGCATCCATGGCATTTGTTCTACCCACGCTTCAGCCACTTAGGAGCCATGTAGTTATCACATCAATTGGCATGGAATCACAGACCAGCCTAATGCAGGCTGTAGCATCTCTATCAATAGCTTCCCTCCATTATATTATTCAAGCAACTATATCATCTCGCATATGACAAGAATAGTAACTTTGGTACAATAAAATGTATTGAGAGGGGCCAAGGCTAATTATTTTATTATATTGTTGTACCTGTCCTAATTTTGCTTAGCTCTTACTATACCTAAGTTATAGATCAAACTTCTCATAGTTTGCTTTTATGAGAGAAATAAAAGAATATAGAGGATTAAGCATTATATATGACATTAGGCACCTGCTTTCAGTTCTTTAAATACGGTCCTTATATAATGGAGGAATACTAATTTACATACAAATAAATTGAGATCCATACCCCAAAGGGAAATCAGTATACCATCCTTACCACCACAAGATTATTCATAAAACCCAAGGTATGGAAACAACCTTAAAAATGGATAAAGAAAATACATATGTATGTGAATCCACGCTAAGGGAAAATACTCAGCCTTTAAATGGGAGGAAATCTTATTTTACACAACCTATGGGATGTTGTGTTTAGAGAAATAATCCAAAGACAGACAACCAAAAGGAAAGGTATTGCCAAGGGCTGGGATAAGGAGAAAATAGGACTCAAAAAATATAAAATTTCAGTTACCCAAGATGAAAACGTTCTAGAGGATATCTGATACACAGCAATGTTTCTACTGCTAACAATGATCTATCACTAAGACTTACCAGAATTTTAAGTGGCGTTGCCCAAAGTGGAGATATGGAAGCAGTGAGGAAAAGAGAAGAAAAGAAAGGGATAGAAAAAGAATGGGAAGAAGAGACAAAGAAAAGAGCATCTTGGGTATTGCGAGCTTTGGGGCTAATATCCAATTATCAGCGAGTTCATACCATGTGTGTTCTTTAGTGACTGGGTTACCTCACTCAGGATGACATTTTCTAGTTCCATCCATTTACCTAGGAACCTCTCGAATTCATTGTTTTTAATAGCTGAGTAATACTCATTGTGTAAATGTACCATATTTTCTGTATCCATTCCTCTGTTGAAGGATATCTGGGTTCTTTCCAGCTTCTGACTATTGTAAATAAGGCTGGTATGAACATAGTGGAGCATATGTCCTTGTAATATGTTGGAGCATATTCTGGGCATATGCCCAGGAGTGGTATAGCTGGGTCCTCAGGTAATGATATGTCCAGTTTTCAGAGGAACAGCCAGACTGATTTCCAGAGTGGTTGTACCAGCTTATAATCCAACCAACAATGGAGAAGTGTTCCTCTTTCTCCACATCCTTGGCAGCAACTGCTATAACCTGAGTTTTTAATCTTAGCCATTCTGACTAGTGTGAGATGGGATCTCAGGGTTGTTTTGATTTGCATTTCCCTGATGACTAAGGATGCTGAACATTTCTTTAGGTGCTTCTCGGCCATTCATGTTTCCTCAGTTGAGAATTTTTTGTTTAGCTCTGTACCCCATTTTTAATAGGGTTATTTGGTTGTCTGGAGTCTAATTTCTTGAGTTCTTTGTATATATTGGATATTAGCCCTCTATCAGATGTAGGATTGGTAAAGATCTTTTCCCAATCTGTTAGTTGCTGTTTTGTCCTATTGACAGTGTCCTTTGCTTTACAGAAGCTTTGCAATTTTATGAGGTCTCATTTGTTAATTCTTGATCTTAGAGCCTATGCCATTGGTGTTCTGTTCAGGAACTTTTCCCATGTGCCCAAGCATTCAAGGCTCTTTCCCACATTCTCTTATATTAGTTTCAATGTATCTGATTTTATGTGGAGGTCCTTGACCCACTTGGTCTTGAGCTTTGTACAAGGAGATAAGAATGGATCAATTTGCATTCTTCTACATGCTGACCTCCAGTTAAACCAGCACCATTTGTTGAAAATGCTGTCTTTTTTCCACTGGATGGTTTTAGCACCTTTGTCAAAGATCAAGTGACCATAGGTGTGTGGGTTCATTTCTGGGTCTTCAATTCTATTCCATTGATCTTTCTGCCTGTCTCTGTACCAATACCATGCAGTTTTTATCACTATTGCTTGGTAGTACAGCTTTAGGTCAGGGATGGCAGACCACATGAAGCTCATGAAGGAAGACCAAAGTGTGGGTGCTTTGGTCCTTCTTAGAAGGAGTAACAAAATATTCATGGGAGCAAATATGGAGACAAAGTGTGGAATAGAACCTGAAGGAGGGACCATCCACAGACTTCTTCACCTAGGTATTCATCCTACGTGCAGTCACCAAAGGCAGATGCTGATGTGGATGCTAGGAAGTGCATGCTGACAGGAGCCTGATATAGCTGTCTCCTTAGATATCTGCCAGAAACTGACATATACAAAGGAGAATGCTCACAGCTAATCATTGAACTGACGAAGAGGTTCCCAATGGAGAAGTTAGAGAGAAGACTGAAGGAGCTGAAGGGGTTTGTGACCCCATGGAGAGAGCAACAGTACCAACCAACCAGAGCTCCTGGGTCTAAACCACCAGCCTGGGGGCACATGGGGAGGGACCCATGGCTCCAGCTATATATGTAGGGGTGGATGATCTTGTTCAGCAAAGGTGGGAGAGGAGGTCCTTGATCCTGTGAAGGCTGGATGCCCCAGTGTGGGAGAATTCAAGGGTGGGGAGGTAGGAGTAGATGGGTGGGTGGGGGCACATCATCATAGAAGCAGGAGGGGGATGGGATAGGAGGTTTCTGGGTGTGGGGGGAATGGGGAAAGGGGATAACATCTGAAATATAAATAAAATATCCAATAAAAAAAAGAAAGAGAAGAGCAGTAACTGTAGAAAGTGATAAGCATGCAATTAGCTAGACCACTCCTAAATATGTAAGTATATGAATACTTCATCTTTGTCCCTTGAAATGTATGCATATTTTATTTTTTCATTCTATTTCATTAAAACTAAAAAGGAACCTAGTAACTTGACTCATATTTCTCTCAAGGTGGAAGAGCAAGGGCAGATGGACAACCTGAGTATGGACACTTCAGCATTAGTGGGCAAGCACTTAGCATCTCAGCCAGCTTTCTCCACTGAAGAATGAGACTAAAACTGAACCCATTTTTGTGAGGTGGTGGTGCGAGGATAGTTTACTGATTAAGAGAACTTACTGCCTCTGATCTTTACCTATCCCTCAGCTCCTCCAAATATAACCCTCCAGTCTCATCCTTACCCCTATAGCAGACAATGTGCTGAGGCTTCCCCTTCTTCTCCCCCCCATCTCTAAGTGTACCACACAGATCTTCCCTCCTAACTTCCCTCACTGAACTTATTGCATTACCCCATCACCCAGCTTCAGCAGACATTTCCTGGGAAACCACAGGCTGCTCTGTACAGGGAACCAGGAGCTAGATGTAGATCATGTAGATATCTGCCTCTCTGTTTCTAGAACCAATCTGATGGTTTTATCCCCAGCTCAGTAACAGACCAGGGATGGCAGCCTCTCTCCCCACCCCAACTTCTGAATGGAATACACAGAGCATCCCCTACAAACCTCCTTCTCTTGAGTCATTGCTTTATCCCAGCCCCAAACTGCAAAAGTCTTCCTATGGGAAAACATGGGCCATTTTAGCCACCAAAGCAGGTGAGCTAACTGCAGAACTTCACATCACCTTTCATCCCTACAAGTCAAATCCACCAGTCTCATCTCAAGCCATACAGCAGACAACCTGCTATGCCTCTGCTCACTCTCTGTTCCCATTCCCAGGGAACTAAGCAGATCCTGGTGGACCACTACCCTGAATATACTCATCCCCTCAACCTAGCAAATTCCCATTTCTAAGTGTCAGCTTCCAATACCTAGAAACACATTTTACCCAGAACTCCTGGTAGACATACCTATCAAGATTCCAGAAGACTTTCCTATCATGCAACACATAGCCACCACCCTTTCCTAAAAACCAGAGAGAAAACAGAAATGAAGGAATCAGAATGAAACATCCAACAAGCACAAGACCAGATATCAGCATCTAGAATTACAGTTTTCCCAATACCCAGATGGCTAGGCTCAAGCATAAAAATATGATCCACAACAGTCAGGAAAAAAATGCATTTACTAGAGCCTAGCAACATATACCACAGCAGGCCTTGAGTATTGCAATATAGCTGAAGCACAAGACAAAGACCATGAAGCAGCCTTTATGAAAATAACATTGCTCCTTGAGGAGAAAATGAATATGTCTCTTAAAGAAACCATTCAAAATGTGAACAGTGGAGGAAAACAATAAAACCACTCAAGAACTGAAAGTGGAAATAAAATCAATAAAGAAAATCCAAACTGATGGAAATCTGGAAATGAAAAATTTAGAAACTTAAACAAGAAACTCAGAGGCAAGCCTCATTAGCAGGACAC